CGGAGAAGAAGCAACGACGGTATCTGGGGAATAAGCATCGGCTAACTCTATTAAATTGCTTCATAGAATGATTGATTTGACCCCTTAAGCGGGACCACCACCCCCACGAATATGAAATATTCATGCGAAATGTCCTCAACTTGGAAATGTGCGCCTCCACAGAGGAGATTTCATGGAAGCTTTTGAATACTTGTTAAACATTGAGTTTGTCTGCATGTGATATTTGTTCCTCAACTGTTTATGAATACTAGTTAGACGTGTATTTGGCTTTCTCAAAATATAATACTTGTTTGAAGTTTTTTAATACTAGTTTGACGATTTTGAATACTTATTAGACACTTATGAATACGAGTTCGTGTACATATAGTATTTCATGGTGCATTTATCTCATAACTCACATAACTTTGTCCCTAGAAGATCATGTAGGAATGTGTTGTGACTATGTAATTTCCCTACTATTTTGACAAGTATTCAACTTGTTCGAAAGGAGGTATTTTTAGATTCATTGTCGATGTTAGAGTCTGAATCAAAGTCAGAGGATGACGACAGGACCGAGGAAATCATCCGAAAATTAAGTGGTGTTCATGTTGTGTTGAAGTAATATTCATGCTATAGTATATGTTTGTCTTCAAGTAGTATATTCATGTTGTGTTGAAGTAATATTCTTCATGTGTTGAAGTAGCATGCATGTACGGTTACATTTTAATTCCTGTTGTGATGACCTAGTATTCTTGTTGTTACGAAGTAGTATCCATCATGTTAATAACTATTATCCAACCACGTACAAGCACATATCCAACCTGATATGAACTTGTATCCAACATGTCAATAAGTGTTATATCAGGTCACAATAATTAGTAGTATCCAAAAAATTACACCAAAAAACTCGGGTGCTTCTGCGACAATTGGCTCTTCATGTAAGTGCAGTTGGGATGGTCCTTCTCCAGATGGTTCATGACCCAACCTATCTCTCCTAGTGCATACTTTTGTTCATTAATATACAAAGTAGTATTTAACAACTATCAAGAATTATTCAACAGAATCCAACTAATATTCATCTTTATACCAAGTAGTATCTAACCTAAAACAACAACTCACAACTAGTAGTCAACATTTAAGTACTAGTATCCACCATCAAACAAACTAGTATTCGATATCTAAGATCTAGTATCCACCATGGAAGAAACTAGTATTCAACATCTAAGAACTATTATCCAAAATGAAACAAACTCTTGTTCAACTATTTCGAACTAATATTCATCCTATAGACAAACTAGTATTCAAATATTCAGTACCAGTATCCATCCTACAGAAAAAATAGTATTCAACTAAGAACTAGTATCCACACGTGACAGCAATAGCATTAAAGAGCCATAATGAACCCGCTAAAGCCAACAAACCCCATGTTAGAAACAAAGTTTCTAACGGGTCTCCAGATCAGATCTAGAGATTGAGAATTTAGGGTTTATAGAACAGAATTGGGGATTTAGGGATTTGAGAAGAGAATTTGGGGAAGAACAGAGATAGAATGGCCGAAGCCTTTAGAGAGAAAGATAGACGAGAATGAGAGAAGATTAGAGATTTGGGGAGAGGACTTTTCTTATTAATTTCTGCTTAATCTGATGAAAGACCCAAAGTACATATATATAGGGAAATACTAGAAAACCCTAACAATAAACCTAATTCTATTAAATGACTAATAACCATAATAAGAATTACCCTAATAATGATTATAATAATAAATATAGAAACCCGATATAATTCGGTTTCTAACATCTCCTCCCCCTTCAGACCAACCTTGCCCTCAAGGTTGATCCACTTGACCCACTCCTCCTTTCTTCTCACGCAATGTGCACGCTGAATACTCCATTTCTTGCGCTTCCGTTTCTTCCAATCGTGCTCCAACTTCAATATTGGACTTCTTCCACCAATCTTCTTGGGCTGGTCCTTTTCTTCGACCTTCACTTGCATGGGCCCAATATTCGCTTCGATGACACATTCGAACTTTGCCAACTCCGCTTTGGTGGGCCTCATAATTCCACAACTCAAGGAACCCAATGATTCGTTCACGTCGAAGAACCCATCCTTGAGTACCATTTCACCAAGACCTTCATACATTTTTCTTGGGACAAGCCCATAACTTTGAATTGTTGCTTCTTCTATTAATTTTGGGCCTTGCTCTCTTGAAAACCCACAAGATCCAATTTCCTCCTTCATTTCCTCAAAGCCCACCATCAAGACACAGTCCAGGCTTGGCCCACAATCTCTCAACCCTTCTTCCTCTATGGAGCCGGCCCAAATAATATATCGAGCAACCAGTTCACCCCGTCCGTACCCTGATTTTGGAACGACCCGCTTCTTTATCACTCGCAGCCCGCTCCGCGAAATCTGTCGGCCCGTAGCAAACTCACTGGGCTTCTTCCTCAAGCCCGGCCCACTCTGCTCATCAGCCCTCACGGTCCACGCAGCCCAGCTGGCCCAGGCCAAGGGATCGGCCCTAGGGCTTGCGAAATGGAGAGCTCCCTTCCTCTGGGTCTTGTTCGCCGCCAGCTCCCCCGTTGATGGCTTCTCCGTCTCGTCCATCACCGGCGAGCATCTCCTCAGATGGGTGGAGGGCGGCTCCAATCCGGCACCCTTGCGCTTCTCTCTCTCCAGTGACGAGGGAGGAAACTCACCGCCTCCTGCGTCCTTCTTTCTTTTCTTCTTCTTCTTCTTCCACGGCGACGAACCCTTCGTCTCCATCATCGGCGTCGGACTACTCCATAGGCGGCGCCGCTCCGCCTCCAACCTCATTCCCGACGCTTCCTCCCGCTGTGACTTCTTCTCCCTCTCTTTCCTTGGCAGATTTCTCTTCAACGGAGACTGAGGTTCACCCTCAATCGGGGGAGAGAGAGAGTCGACGCCGCCCTCTTCTTCGTTCGCCGCCAGATCTGTTAACGGCGCCGGCGATCCAATCCAACGATTCCCCACCGCCTCCGCTTCGAGTCGTCGGTCGAGGACGACACGCCCCTCCTCTGGCGACTTCCTCCTCAACCTTGCGTCCTTGCCGTCTAATGCCATCTCGGGGGCCGCCTTAAATCGCTCCAACGAGGCCGCGGATCGCGAAATCTCCGACGCCATTCGCGATGCCTGTGACGAATCGGGACGATCTTGCTCCTTCCGGAACTTCCAGCTGTCGAACGAGGTTGGCGTCGTCTGCATTGACGCAGAAACGGCCACCATGCTTGCGGTAGAGTCAATTGTTGATGATGACAGCGGGGGAACCTCAACCATCTTCTTTGCATAGGACAGCAAAGACTGAGGTTTGGCTACCTCCGCCTCAATGTTGCTCTCTGCTGGTTCTCCTTCCTCGTCCATCTCCTTGGCTGGTGGTTCAATATTGACGCGCGGCTGTGGTGGTGCTTCAAGGTTTGCCGGCGTCTCCTCAACCTGTGGTGGAATTTCAGTTGTTGCCTCCTTGGTGTGGACAGGAGGTGCGATGATCTTTGGGATTTGAAGGATGAAATAAGTTTTCCCGAGCTTAGTATGATACCGTTTGATGTCGTGGGTTGCTCTGAATCTGATTTGCTTTTTGAATCGTAAACATCTGTGACCATCAGCCAACGGTCGTTCTCCCGTTATTGCTAGCACATCAGATCCAACCACTTGCACATCTACGTGCTTCATTTTGAATCCAGGCAAGGTGAAGAACAAGACAACGCTACGTTGCAGCTCCATCCTCATGCTGTCAGGTTTGAAGTCTTCATATACTCGGTCGTCCCTGGTTGAGAGTTGTGACGAACTCAGAGTTTCGACCATGGCTCTGATACCAAATGTTAGAAACAAAGTTTCTAACGGGTCTCCAGATCAGATCTAGAGATTGAGAATTTAGGGTTTATAGAACAGAATTGGGGATTTAGGGATTTGAGAAGAGAATTTGGGGAAGAACAGAGATAGAATGGCCGAAGCCTTTAGAGAGAAAGATAGACGAGATTGAGAGAAGATTAGGGATTTGGGGAGAGGACTTTTCTTATTAATTTCTGCTTAATCTGATGAAAGACCCAAAGTACATATATATAGGGAAATACTAGAAAACCCTAACAATAAACCTAATTCTATTAAATGACTAATAACCATAATAAGAATTACCCTAATAATGATTATAATAATAAATATAGAAACCCGATATAATTCGGTTTCTAACACCCCACCCCTCCAATGATATACAAAGTCGTACCAAAAATCCCCAAATTTGTATCTATGAAACCCTAATCCATATAAAGAACCAACAAACTTCAATCAAAAGGTAGGACGCCAACCTCAAAGTGATATACCGATCAGTGCCACTTCTCTACTCTCTTTTTCGTTTATGTGGGCTTCTCCACCACACTCTTTCTTCGACGGTATTCCTGTGTTTCCTATGTGGATTTCTCCGCCAACCGAACCAGAAGAGAAGTGCTTGTTGAAGAGTTGGGAGTTTGTTGTTTCTCTAAACGTCGATGAGTCGAGAGTTGTCAAAGATGGATCACGGAAGAGAGGAGTCGCCGGAGATGGAGCACGGAAGAGAGGGAGTTGCTTTCATTGGTTTCGGAAAAGGAGAGGAAAATGAGAGAAAAAAGAGAATAGCTTATTTGGTGAGAGAAGGAAACTGAAACCAAATATTTGGGTTTTTGAATTGCATGCCCACCCAAAAAGTGCAAACGCTGGCTAGGCTTAGCCGAGCAACCAAGTATTCTCCCGCCCCCTAACATTGTGAACCCCTGCATTTCGGCCTTACGATCTCGGCTCCGCATGCATGGCCTCCATCTCAACCCTGTGAGTAAGATAACGAAATTGCTTTCTATGTCTAGCTCGATTCTCCTGGCTCGGCGTTTTCCTTGTGCTTCTTTGGGGTCTTCCTTGCGACCTGCTGTTCTCTCTGTGCTAAACTCACCTCTTTGTTTCTTGCATTGTGGTTCAACATATTCTCGCTTTTATCAAAAAAGTCATGTAAGCCAAATTGGCAATCCACAACGCAAGATATCAGGAGAAAGAGAAAAACCATAAACGGCTTGGCTTTCGCCATTTAGTACCTTAATTTCTCGAGAATACACAGTAGTATATAGTCATCTTGATACCATCATATCGATCAACATACAAACATAAGAAGAAAAAAAGTTACAGCCTTTTCTTTACAATCAACCACCAGTTGTATTATTCTACTGCTTACCCCATCTCCTTTATCTTCCCTTTCAGATAAACCAAACACGGGGAAAAATACTGAACACCAACCATAACATGAGCCAGAAAAGATGCAGAATGAATAAACAAACTAGAGATTGAAGCTACTTCGCAAACAGCTGCCTCCTCCTACCTAATTTGGTGGTTCTCGGGCCGCCGACTGCTTCTCCCATCACAATCTCATCAACTAAGTCCTTAAAAATCAGTCTCTCAACATCTAATACCAACCCAGAAACCTCATTATCAAACTCTGTCCAAGAATCAGATCTTCGTGTCATGTCTTCACACAAAATAACTTTCAAACCATCCTCCTCGTCTTCGAAGTTGCATTCCTCCAATTTCTTAACTTGAAGCTGTTCTATTTCCAAACACAGCTCCTTCAGAAGCTTCTGTGCTGTGGTGGTCTTCCTGGCAAGTTTACCAGACTTCAGCCATGGTTCTGCCTCGACGCTCACCAAGGCTAACTTTTTTACAAGGGTCTCATTCACAGCATCGAATATTAGCTTACGGTGGGACTTCTCCGCTTTCATGGGGCCACTGCTCTGTTCCTTCATTTGCAAATTGCTGGCTTTCGTCTGCTCCAGTACACAGAAAAGCTCGGGGTTGATGGGATGACCAGATGGGTGAAGCTGAAATGTTGTTAGCCCTGAGCCAAGATCTCTAAGTAGAAGGCCTGAAGCTAACAAGATTTCAGAGATGTATCGATGGTCTGGATCACTGTTCTCGCAGAGTGAAGCGATATAATCTGTGCTAGCTTCATCATGTGTAGAGTTTAGACGTCTAAGCTTTTGTACTAAATTCTCAATGTTCTTTAACTTCTTGCGATTGATATCAGATAGGAGACCTGAGCCTGTGCAGTTGTTGGACAGGGACTCTGAGGAGTTCCACCGATTGCCGTTTTGACTATCCGTGGAATTCTGAGCACCGCCACCTGGAAGAAAAAAATAGCATACATGCATTTGCAATGCCTGTGAGAATTCATGTCTAACGAGAATGCAAATCTACAGGAATCTCCAATTCTTTCGATTGATAGTGACAATAAATGCGATGCCATGTGAATAGTCTAATCTCAGTATTTGTATTGCCTTGCGAATTTGCGATATCCGATACCATAAGTTGCAGACAGCTGAATCTATATGAAGCTTGAACCAGCAGAACATTGTCATTACCTCCAGGCGTACTGGGTGCCTGTTTCACTGGGGATATGGCAGCATCTTTATATGCTGAAGAATCAAGGACGGAGACAGGACTAGGTTGCTCAGGAGCAACAACTAACTCCACGCCAGCCACCTCTTCATCAGAGTTTGAAGTCTCTTTCTGCACAGAACCAAACAGTGATAGGTCAGCCATATATGAACAGAGTAGTTGAGAGTGAACTTGGAGGTGGTCAATGCTTTACTTACACTGTGCAGCATTGGATAAGAAACCACATAACTGGTAGTAGATGCCTTCAATGGTGGACTCTGAATTTCACAAGATCGATCAGCACTTGTGACTTCGAAATCGGTCTTCATGTCGAAGACTGTAACAGTGCGGTCAGACTGCATAGACATGATGTCATCGGCCTGATAGCTTGAAGTTCTTGACTCATTACTTATCTGGCTCAGTTGGTCATCATTCTGTGCCTGTTTAGGAGACCTGATCCTGTGCTTCCCACCACCAGGTGAACCTGACTCTGGTGGTGGCTGTCTTCCAGATTGTTGTCTTCTTCTCGGTTTGCTTGTAATATCACTTGGGGGAGTAGGTGGGCGAGATCTCCTTTCCAGCTCGAGCTTCTTCTGTTGCAATCTCGGGCTCACTGATCCTGTGCTCTTTACATAGCTGCTTGTGCTTTCTCTTTGCTGAGGCTTAGAAGTTTGATTTGATCTTATGCCCCTGCTGCTATTTGTTATCTTGTCACCAGAGTAGGAAACTGCTTCTCTACAAGTGTTTCGCGGTGACTGGTCTTTAATCACCCGGCTACTGATTGCATATCCACCATTGTGAATTCTGTGAAACCCGGGAAGCCCATCAATGGGGATCACTGAGGAAGAAGGAATACCAGATTTCTCAACTAGTTTTGCTGGTTTCATGATCACAATTGGGGACTCATATGTCCTCAAAGAATTAGAAGCTTTAGCTGCAGTAGATGTACTGGCAAGATTTTCTTGCCTTGATAATCTTGAAGGGCTTTGGGTAGTGGCATTTCTCGGGTCAAAATCTGCTTGAGTTGTTCCGAATTTGGAATTTTGCTCTTCTACTTTCCCAGTCTCAAGGAGCCCCTTAGCTTGCATTGCTTCTAGAATCTGTTTAAGAGCTCTCAGATCTTTCCCAGACTGTTTGAACTCAAGATCCTTCAGTCTCTTCTCGATCTCACTGTACACAGAGGGAAAAGAGTTTTGTGTATTGGTTGGAAGGGTCTTTCCAGACTTGAAAGTTGATTTTTGAGCCCCTCTAGTTCCATCCACCTGCTTCCATGGAGCTGGTTCAATTGGCATCTTTGAAATAGGTCTCATGATTAAATGATCAGGATTCTTCCGTCGCGGTGAGAGGACTGGCTCTTTTGCCATGCTTCTTGGAGACTTGGGAATCCTGATACCCAAATTCGCATCATTTTGCTTGAAGGATCTTGAGAAGGCATCAGTATGTTCATCTATTGTTGTCTTGAGTGAACCTGCTGATTGACTAGACGATGCAGAATCTGGTAACATCTCCAACCCCATTAACTTAGCTACCACACTTGGCGGCCTGTTTGGGTTTCCTGATTGCTTCTGTGCATTGTAAACCCGTTCATCTGAGTTTGACATATGTTGTAAATCTCGTGAGAGGTAACTGCTTCTTTTTGAATCAGCCATGGAAGCAGCCTTCATAGAACGTTCCCTACTGTCTAATGAAAGTCTGGGAAGCTCTTTCAGCTTGGGGCTAGTAGCCCTGATGGTATCCCGTGATTCAAAAGACAAACGATTCGAATCTCTACCATCATAAGAAAAGCGAGGGGCATCTTTTGTAGCTGTGCTCCAAACATCCTTTGATTCATATGATGATGGTCTTGCATGTTCTCTAGTTTCATTGTGGTACCAAGGTGCTTCTCGAATCTTGGCAAGAGCTCGTAAAGAATCATGGACATGATCAACAGGCACATTCTGCTTCACCTTATTGATTGTTGCAACCCCATGAGATCCATCTGCTGCTGACTTAGTGTGCTGCAATGGCCTTGGAGAATCTTTATGCTTCACATCACTACTTCCCTTTGCTTCCTGTTTTGACATGGTCTTGACTGATAGCCCTCTGGCATCCCTATACATAGAGTCCTTAACTACTTCTCGAAGATCAACAGAGTGCCTCTCTGAATATGAGCAGGTACTCGGCTGGGGAGTTAAAACTGGATCTCTTGATGGAGTTTCAGGAAATATTATTCTATCTGTAGATGAGGTTTCGGGTTGAGCGGTCCTGTTTTCAAGAGAGGATAAAGAGGAACATGAGGAAGAGAAAGAAGCCCGTGATGATTCTGTGGACATCCTTTGCTTTTCATTCGAACTCTTGTTCAATCTTGTATCCTGCAAGAGGAAGTCCACTGTCAGCTCTCCTACATTCCCCATTATCTATAAAATTCATTATTTCAGCTGATATATACAGCAGCATCCATCACAAATTAGGTCCTGAATAATTTATGTGAAACTGGTAGAAAAATTTACAAGAACAAGATGGAAGAGAGCTTACAAGAGGACGCCGACGGTATGTATCGAAAGATTCCCGGTCTGAGCTTCCACGAACCAAGTGAGATTCACCTGCAATCATAACAGAAGCAGAAATATTACAACACTAGAGGATGGTTATATATTATCAGGTCGTGACCGAGTATATAGTGGTGCAAACGTACTACCTGGAAAATGTACAGATGGAAACAATAAACAGAATGCACAAATAGAAACAATCAATAACATCTTGTCAATTAGATCTGTCAAGCACGCACTGTCATTGAGTAAATTACCAGTAACACCAACCATGAGACGATTAGGTGATATGGTAAGAAACCAAGCTACAAAGACATGTCAATAAATTGCCAAGCTGCTACCAATTCCCGAAGTAAATGCAGACAGAGGTACTATTGGTTGAAGCATTGAGTACAAGTTGTAAGCTGGTGGTACTATACATATTATTGATAACACCCACTCAAGCAGAACAATTTTAAAGGACAAATAGCAATCAGGAAAATCTGTCATTTTTGGTTCAGTACATAGAATTATTCATATCTTGAGATGCAGGTAAGAAGTTCTAACATTGCGATGTGTTCTACGAGCGGATAAAAACGAGTAGAAGAAAATCCATCAGTAAGGAAGAAAGCAAAGCAAAGCGATGACCACTTGTAAACTGTATGAACTACCTGGAGGCAGCTTTTTATGGCTGAGGCGCCTACCAGTGAGCATTTGTTGACGATCAAAGATTTGAAAAATACCAGTCATACAACCAATTTGCTTCTGCAAATCTGGATTATCATCAGCCAACGAATGTAACAGTTTGGCAGCCATTCTCCTCCCTTCAAGAAACTCAACCACCACTGCCTCAAACCCAACAAACTCACACCCGTTCCTTGTGTGCTTATTTCTGATCTGAATTTGCGACCTTCAATGGTGTTTGGTACCACCACAGTACAGAGGCAATGCTTTGTGGCAAACCCACTTCTATACTATTAATTGCATACTGTTGACAACCACCAGTGCACGAGACTAATGACCACAAATCACACCTGTTCTCCGTACCTTTCTCTACACCTTTTCGCCATTTGTTCTTCAGCTTCTTTCTTTCAACAGTGAAGCAAGAAGGCACAACCTGTGCATTCTAGCAGTTCTTTTATAAACCAAATGAGAAAAAAGCACTTTCCATGTACATGTAACCCCGAAAACTAAGTTTCCAGAAACAGAAGCTAACAAAACAAACTAAAAATATTTCCCTTCTCCCAATATTATCCACAAACTAACCCTTTAATCTCTCCTTGTCAAAAGCCAGTAATCTCCTAGTAATAATTACAGCTCCGTGGTACAGTCCTCGAGCGCCCAAAAGACAAAAAAGCTCGTCCCTTTTCCTGTTAATTGAACCAATCTCAGTCCCACAGACCTTCCCTCCCTCAGAATCGAAGTGCCCAATTTGGAATACCCATGAATCCTTCCAAAAAAAGCAGACTCATAAACTCGTTTAGGCGACAATCAGGGAGAAAACTGCAAGGGGCATAAAAAAAGAGAGAAGGCAGGGAAACCAGTATCAGGAAACAGAGGGAAAAACAATACCTGATTTGGACATATATTCTATAGACAAGGCAAGGCCAATGCCAGATGCCCAAATACCAACATATAACAACAAGAATACACAGCAGAAGAATGAGAATGTACCCATCATATATTTAGGGCTTACAAATCCAGAAACGCAGCGAGTACTTCTCATCCAAAGCTAGCTGCTTTCCCTTCCCAACACCGCAAAGAGAAGAAAGAAAATAGAGGAATCTCCCCAGATCCAAGATGATAGAGATGGAATATGGGATTTTTTTAATCTCTCCTATTATTGTTTGGTCAGAGAACAAATAGGAATACAGGCAGGAGTGATGGGAAGGTCTAGCGTATCATTAACATGTGTAACCCAGAAAACTAATCTGGTTAAAGATTAAAAAAAAAAATCTTACTTCTCTTTTCCTTCCCAAGGGATGAGAGAGAGTAGCAGAACGAGCAGGGGAATGAGAATGCGAGTGTTTGTGGTAATGGGTTGGGGGAGCAGGAGCAGGAGCAGGCAGAGATGTATGTTCCTTTCCTTACCAATTTCCTCTCCTGCCTTCTCTCTCTCACATACAACCATGTGCGATGAGTATGTGGGTGGGTCTAAAACTGTCTGCATTTGCATGTGGTTTTGTCAGAAGAGCAAGTGAGAAGATAATTCCCCCAAAACATAAAGTCATAAACGACTCCAATAACAAATATGAAAAAGAAATTGGGGAATTGGGATTTTAGTGATCAACTCTTTCCTATATTCTTTCAGTCACGAACTTTTGAGTTTTAGGCCGGTTATAAAATAAAGTAAAAAAGATTAAAATACAAACTTAGAGTTTTGAACATATTTTATTCATAATTTCTTAATAAGTATAAACGGCAAGTTTGAAGCTTGATGAGAAGTCTATGATATCTCATGACATTTGTCAACTTTGTCTTTCAAAAAACAAAAGACATATGATTCACCAGATATTCAGAAAAATTAGTAAGAGTGTTCCGAAAAATCTAAGTGAGGAAAAGCAATTGTTAGGATTTTTCAGTGACAACATGGCAACGGCGACCCAGCTGGTGCTCGTGGATGCGCTTGGGCAACTACTTGGGCCTAAAACATATGCAAGGACGCGTCGTCCCTCTCCCCCCCCCCCCACCGTCTCGAGCAACCGCGTCTCCCAACACCAAATGGAGAAGGAAGCCACTCAAGCGAAAAAATGAGCTAAGCAGGTGGATCAATAGTTGAACGATGATATCCTCTATGAGGTTATGGAACGGCAGAGGAAAACCAGACTCCCAACAATCAAAATCGGGGACCTAGACGGAGAAAAATGGTGCAGCGAGAAGATTATTTGCTAAGTTGTCGGGTACGAATATTTGGTCGTCGAATCTGAATCGGAGGATATTGCATAAGCGATAAGGGTAGATAAATGAAAAGCTGGAAATCGATGAGGAAGACGACCTTACTTGTCCACCAATTCACTTCTCTACAGAGGAGAAACAAATGTTATGTCGGTTGCGGTGATCTGTTTAGTCGTGAAGCTGTTGGGTAGGTCGACATCTTACACGGTACTGTCAAATAGACTCATGATAACTCGATATCTGCACACGTTTGTAACCACCATTCTTATACCTTTTGAAGCTCGTTTTTCGTGTTTTAATCTGATTTCACGCTAGATTGTTCTTTTTGGTGATATTTCAGGTCCTAGTATGTGAATAAAGGTTTGGACACGAATTCGGGGTCGATTTGACGAAGTTAGGATGATCGAGAAGAAGCTGAAGGATTTACACGCCAGACATTGGAGTTACACGGGCGTGCAGTGTGGCCGTGTGACTGGGTTGACACGACCAGGTGTTGTATGGGTCGTGCAAGGACGCCTCTGGTCATGGGTGATTTCCAAAGATCCACACAGGCAAATGGCCGTTTTACACGGTCGTGCGCTGGCCTTGTAGAGTCTGCGGAGAACTAAATGGAACGCGGCGTTTTGGTTTTACACGGGCAGACCAGGGTTTTACACGACCGTGTGTTCTGGTCGTGTTATCGAGCATAACTGTGTTTTAAACCCAATTTCGGGTTTTGAAGAGGGGATCCCAGTTTAAGGGCTGAAAACAGAGTTTTGGAGAGAGAAAGTGACGAACCTTACCTCCAAGGTGACCTAGATTGAGCTTTGACACCATTGGAGCTCGATTGAAGTCTGGAGAGGTGCCGATTGACAACCAGAAGCTGATTCTCATCCTCCACAAGTGATTTCTGCATCTGAAGCTGATTTCCCTTCTCTCTCTATGGAGTAAACTCCCTCTCTCACCTAGGTATGAAGAACCCTAGATTTGTATGCTAGGTTTGTTTTGTATGAACCCAAGTACTTGATCTTTTGACATTGATTATATTCAATTGAAGCATGATTTTCTGAATTACTTGAATCCTTATCAAATTCTGGTAGCACCTGCTTTGACCTAGAAAGAGAATATATGTCTAGGTTGATAGAGCACCCTAAATTGAAGGTGGTGACTTGACTACTTTAGTCGAGGAGTCAATTCACTACTCTGTACTGATTTACTCCAGTAGAGGGAATTTTTGTACGTTAGGGCCTCAGTTTGTTTACTCCAGTGGAGGTTAGTCGCTCGCCGGGTATTCAGATTGAGTGGGTCTGAAGACCTTTAGTCGAGACTTCAGACTGGATAAGAACCTCCTGCAGTATAACTGTCATTAAATCTGGACTTGGTGAATTATAAGCTGACTTAACTGCAATCTATGGTGAATCACATGTGGGTGATCTCTCTCAAACTTGAATCACAACCTTTACTACCTTGTGTTTGTTTCATTTAGTTATAATCTCACTACAGTTAAACCGCTAGATAACAAGAACTTCACGTAGTAGTCATCACATCTAGGACCCGGGTTGACAATTAAAGCTAAACCCGCTATACTACGCATTAGTAGGTGGTTACACTTGGCCACTTTCTAGTGTGGCGGTTCAGGCGAGTCAAGTTTTTGGCGCCATTGCCGGGGACAGCTAGGTTGTTGAAGAAACGTGATTTCTGTTACTTTAGCATTTCTTTTTCGCATTGATTGGTTTTCTTTGTCCCACTTTTGCCTTCACGAGTTTGCTTGCTTAGTTGTGTGCAGATAGTGCATGACCCATAGCCAGTCGGGAGCATTACTACCGTAAGATCCATAGCTAGAACGCACTTGTCGCCAGCTTAGGAGAGTGCAGCGAGCGAGACTGGCTACGACAGAAGTGCAGGTTGACGGTCGGATTAGCAGCGACTCCGAGCAGGAGGACGACATGGGAGACGAGAACAACCGGATGAACAACATGAATCAGGGGCAGCCCCTGGGGATGCCTCTCCTGGTCCCTCTAGTGAATCAAGTCCCACCTAATGGCGGTATTCCACAAGCAGACGCTGCCAACCATCAGCTGCCTCCACAGGGTCTCACTATGGAGTACTTCTACACTCCACGGATAACTGACATCCGCCCATCCTTGCCAACAACTTCGAGATCAAGCCATGCTAGATCTAGTTGATTACATCTTCCATCCAATTCCATGGGCTCAAGGATGAAGAGGCGAGGGTGCACCTTTCTCGATTCTTGCAGCTGACCAATGGGTTTGTAAGCTCAACGGTGTCCCAGATGACGCGATCCGTCTTCACCTCTTCCCCCACTCTTTGGCGGAGCATGCAAAGAGGTGGCTAGAGACTCAGCCGCCACTGCCATCACTTCTTGGGACGATCTGGCCAACAAGTTTGTGCACAGGTACTATCTGGCCTCAAAGCCCTTAGAGTTTCAGCGGGAGATCACTCATCTCCGCCAAGAAGATGATGAGTCGCTGCGAGATGCTTGGGAGCGGTACTTGGGAATGTTATGGAAGTGCCCCCATCACGGCTTTAGTGATGCATTCACTGTGAGGAACTTCTATAGTGCTTTGTATCCGGAGATTCAGAGATTGATTGAGTCTTTATGTTTGGGTGGAGACATTCTCACTAAGACTCCACCTGAGCTGAATCAAGTGATCAATACTTTGGCCGCTAGAGATCATTCTTGGGGGTAGATCACTAGAGGAAGGAGCTCTCGAGACATAGGTGTGTAAGCCATGGAGGCCAGATCAGGTCTTGAGCCAGAGGTGGCAGAGCTGGTTAAGACATTGAAGCAGCCTAACAGCCTCATACCAGGCAGAGGTATGGCCGCACCTCCTGTAGCACAGTGATAGTGGTGTGAGAGTTCGAACCATTTGGTGGAGGATTGTCAGGCTATGCGGGAGTCCTCCACACCCCAAGAGCATTTGGACTTCATTGCTAATGCTCGGCGCATAGACCTCCTAGAACAACAACAACAACAACAACAACACCAAGCCTCCCGAATTCACCGCACCAGCTGGGGGTTTTCAACAAAGGCAGCAGTACCAGACCCGACAGGGTCTATTTTCACAGCAGTAGCCGTTCCAGGCCAGACAGGGCAACCCTTCTAGCAGCAGCAGAGGCAATTCCCACAGCCGGCAGCAGGGCCAACACAGGGTGACCAGATGTCTGAGCTGAAAAATATGGTGATGGCTTTCGTGAGCACCAGCACAGAGAAGTTTGCCAGGATGGACCAGTTCATGGAATTTTCTATGGGGAAATTCAATGCACTAGAGTCAGGCCAGAGAAACCAGAGTGAAATTTTGCAGAACCTCCAGAATCAGATTGGAGGGATAGCTCGAAACAACAGTACCGAAGCACCGGGAGCTCTATCTGCCAACACCATCCCAAATCCTCGCGAGCCTCACCAGCAGTTGGATGCCATTACTACTAGAAGTGGCAAGACGACGTCTATTGTTCCTGCTCCGACCAGGCAGGAGGAACCAACACCTGTTCCAGCACTCCCAGCTAAAGATGAAGTGGTAGAGATAGAGAAGGAAGCACCTTCTCCCAAGCCACAACCAGTGGTTAAGGAGCATGTTCCCCAGCTTCCCTTCCCCACTCGTATGCACAAGGACAAGCTAGAGACTGAGTTTGCCAAGTTCATGACAATGTTGAAGCAGGTCAAAAGACAAGGCACCTCCTCGCTAAATTCATGAAGGACCTCCTCGCTAACAAGAAGAAACTTGGGGATCTATCGACAGTGATGCTGAGCTAGGAGTGTTCTGCAATCCTGCAGAACAAGCTGCAGAGAAGCGCAAAGACCAAGGGAGTTTTACTATCCCTCTTATTATTGGCAGCATTCATGTAGGAAAGTCCTTGGCGGACCTAGGCACTAGCATCAATGTCATGCCTTATAAACTGTTTAAGAAGCTAGGCCTAGGTGAACCTAGAACCACTAGGATGAGTATTCAGTTAGCTGATCGGTCCATTGTGCATCCTAGGGGTATCATAGAGGATTTTCTTGTTAATGTGGGTGCATTCACATATCCTGTTGATTTTGTTATTTGGATATAAATGAGAATGTGGATGTGCCTTTGATTTTGGGTAGACCATTTCTCGCCACCACCAAGGCGTTGATTGATGTGCATAGTGGCAAGTTAATTTTGGGAGCAGAGGATGAACAAGCTACATTTTCCTAGGTAAGAAGACATCATAGGATATGCAGCTAGAGGAGCAGTTGGCCGCGCTCGAGCGTGGCGAATTCCTAGTGGTCGAGAAGTCGTTCAAGTCGATCTCATCCTCG